AATAGAAAAGTGTCCCAGGATGACTTGACCATTTCTCAGTTTCTAGTCCAGCACCTATCTCAGGCATCTCAGGTGTCTTGAGATCTTAGCACCCATGAATACTTAAGCAAGGTTCATGTTGGCTCAGCACTTAGTAATCTTTGAGCGAAATAAAAGGGTGGAAGCTATGTGAGTAGGACGCTGCTGGTTTACCGATTTCTATTTTCATGGAAACATACTCCTATGACATTCTGTGTAAATCAGGAAATGGTGCCCTTGAGGGATGATACAGCCTAATGGGTCATACAGTATACTAGCCAGTGGCCGTGGCTTGCTGTACATGACCTTATAACACTTGAGCTCAATACCCTTTGCTTGACTCATTTTTTTATGTCTCTGTTCCAATTTCTAACTGGCTCTATTATGTTGAACATTGTCTTAGTTTACAAAGTGGAAAGCATGACAAAGAACCCCAAACTTATCACATATGTACTTGAGAGAGAGAGAAGCAAAGGATAATCAAAGTTTAGTATTAGGAAATCTTAGCCTTACGTTTGCCCTCTCTTTTCATGAATTAGACCCCCAATAATCATCAACCTAGGCCCAAGCGACCTGAAGGTATGAAAGGTGCTGGGCAGAGCTAACAACTTTTACCTGTGCTCCCAGGGACAGTCAAAAGCAGACAACTCAATGACAGCTGGCTTCATCCTTTTTATATTGACTTGCCTTTGAATGCATTTTTAAAGAATATGATCTCACCAGAATAGTACATTCTTTGAAAATTTTAAGCAACCACTACCTCACCATCTTCAAAATGCAATGCTAACAACGCAGAGGAACATTTTTTTAAAAAAATCTGATTTAATATAGGCAGTTGCCTCAATTGCCAAATTCAGTGGAAATCCAGCAATAGATAATTTCTAAAATTAGGTCACCAAATTAAGCTACTTATTTAAGAGCTCTAGGGCAGCCAACAAGGGACAGCATCATGAACCAGATTTGACAACATTGGAGAGGTATATACCTCAGGTCTAACCATTACAGGCAGAGGATGAGAAGAGGGGGCTAAAATCACACATAGGGCTATCTCTTCAGGGTTGTAGGGAATTAATCAACTCTGGCAAAAGATACCATACTATTAAACTGCATTGCCTCATTGTAAGCTGTCATGTATAGAAAAATATCATGTTATATATTGATTATAAAAGGAATCACAGTGTTTTACCAAACATAATCAGAAGAAACAAAATATGCAACTGTAGCATTTTATTTTTGATTATGATAAATTCTAAGTCACTAGTTTTCCTAAACTTTCAATAGTCAAATAGTTAATGTACTGGCTTTTTAAAAGAGATTTTTAAAGATAATGTGACTATCCCACTACTGCAGGGTCAACAACAACAAAAAGATGTGAATCACCACTTTCCTTTCATGTGTCCATGGCAGACATCTCTCACAGAGCCATTGTCCACTTTGGCCTCAAAATGCTTCCCCCAGGCAGCCACTCATTGCCAGTTAATTGGGGTTAACACTTGAGATGAAAACCATTCATCATTCCACCGGTTAACTGAACTTCCTGAGAGCAGAGCAGGGACTTTGTCCTACCTATCTCCATATGCCAATCCCAGCATATTACCTGCACAAAAGTGACACTCAATATGTAGTTGTGAATGATTAAGTACCCCAGGAATCATAAAAATTTTCACCAGCAGGTAATTCTCAAAAAAATTATGCAAGTGGCCAAAATTACAAACAAAAATAAATTTAACTTCACTTGTAAATTTAAAAAATGGACATGTAATTTTTGGCTAGATTGGCAAATATTTCTTAAAAAGTAATATGCAATGCTGGTGATAGAGGAAACAAGTACTCAGATATATGACTGGTAAGAATGTAACTTGTTAGAGCTTTTCTGGAGGGAAAATAGTTTATCAAAACTCATAGAAATAATAATACTTTCACCTAGAAATTTTACCTGTGGAAATAATAGTTCATGAAGAAATATATTTGTGCAGTGGTTTAGCTATAAGGAAGTTTGTTGAAGTATGATATAAAAAATTCAAAATTTGTAAAACCAACAGCCAAGGACTGGTCAAATAATATTTGATAGCCTTTCTATATATTTTTTTGTTTCAATTTTTTATTTAAATTCTAGTTAACATGTAGTGTAATGTTGGTTTCAGGAGTAGAATTTAGTGATTCATCACTTACATACAACACCCAGTGCTCATCACAGTAAGTGCCCTCCTTAATCTCCACCGTCCATCTAGCCCAGCGCCTACCCCCCTAACCCTCAGTTTGTTCTCTATAGTTGAGTCTCTCATGGTTTGCTTCCTCTTTCTCTGCTTTTTTCTTTCTCATATGTTCATCTGTTTTGTTTCTAAAATCCACATATGAATGAAATCGTATGGTATTTGTCTTTCTTTAATTATTTCACTTGGCATAATACACTCTAGCTCCATCCACATCATTGCAAATGGCATGATTTCAGCCTTTCTATATTTTATTATTTTATTATTTATAGCATTCACATATGTATAGTATACAGCTATTAATATTGTATAAAAGTATACTTATCAACATGGACAAATATTTAGTATGTGCTTCTAAGTGAAAAAATAGATTACAAAATTTATGGTGTGTGGTCTTATTTTGTTAAGATATGTGTATATGTGTCTAAGCCCAAATAAAAGGGTTTTGAAACTCCAACATATTAACATTTGCTATTTCTTGATAGAATAATAGGATAGGATAATAGGATAGGATAATAATAGATAGAATATTTTGTGATAGAATAATAGGATAATAGGACTGTTGCTATTATTATTAATTATTATTATTATTTTGTCTTTTTTTCTCTAATGATCATAAGTCACTTTAATAAATTTTTAAAAAGCAATTTTTAATATTTAAAAATTGCTTTCTGGAATTGTTCATATTTTTCTTGATTTATTCTTCTATAGTAAGCAGAACCTTCAAAATCATTCCATTGATCATTCTTTTTAAAAGTAGCAATTTCAGCATCTAAATATTAGAAGTCCTCCCTAAGGACTTCAGTGTGAGCTTTTGGAGAGTCAGTCTTAAATCTGGCCCTCTTATTAACATATTCTTTGCTCTTTTTTCCTTTTCTCATTCTTCCCTCTCCCTAAATTCTTCTCCCTCTGACGAGAAAATCGTAACTCAACATATGAGTCAATTGTTCTTTGCTTAGGTTCTAAGGGTTATTTTTTCTGATTAATAATTAAATATATCTTATTTCATATAATATATTAATTAAATAATACCTACTTGTTAATTACTCAAAAATTGGAAAACACAGAATATTTTTAAGGGAGTTGAAAAAATGCCATTAATGTAATATACTTAAATCAAGTATTTTTTTTTATTTTTCTGCATATAACTTCTTTTATGTAAAAACCATATTATATGTCCAATCATATGTTTTACTTTACAACAGAAGTGCATTCTAGGGCACCTGGGTGGCTCAGTGGGTTGAGCATCTGGCTGTTGATTTCAGCTCAGGTCATGATCTCAGGGTGTTTGGATCGAGCCTAGATCCAGCTTTGCGCTCAGTGGGGAGCCTGCTGGAGATGCTCTCCCTCTCCCTCTGCTCCTCCCCACCACTTGCACTCTAAAATAAATAAATTAAATAAATGAATAAATGAATAAATGAATAAATAAATAAATAAATATATCAATCAATCAATCTTTAAAACAACGAAAAAATAAGTGCATCCTAAGTATTTCCTCAGAAGTCTCTCTTTTTCTTTTTAAAGAGTTGCTGCTGTGGCAAGCCAGCATCTTTCTCGTTTGTCCCTTCATTTAGCAATACTGGTGAATGACTACTCTGGGCCTGCTAAGTGCATATGTACATTGGTACAGAAGATAAGCATGATGCTGTCCTCATGGAGGGGCCCAGCTAGGCCTACAATGGCCACCTTGCTTAGTCCACTGTAAAACTTAATAAATAAGAAAGCAGTTCCTGGGAAGCGAAGTATAGGTGTTAACTAGAGTCACACAATGAACAGCTACTCCCTACATTTCATATTGATTCCTAGTCATAGTCTTCGTTATTTCGCTCCCCAGTGTCCCCCTATGTGCTTTTCCTCTCTCATGGGAAACACATGGATTACCAAATTATAAGTATTGTTTCTCACATCGGGTAAGTCACACTAAGCTCTTTACCCAAAAAAATTAACTTATAAGCTAAAACAGAAACAACATGAAATGTCAGGTTCATCTGCCCCATCATACTTATATATTATGTACATATTGAAAAACAGAGAGAAACCTGCGTTAGATACGTCTCAAATGAAGTAATCAGGAACTGTTTTCAAAATCTTTAATGACAAAGAGCAGGAACTGACCATTCAGAAGGAGGCCTCTTGGTTCTTTCCATCCCTCAGTTGCTATATCTGCAAGGTATGACTGGAATATCCAGGGCATAGATCACAGTGACTAGGACAGTGGAGGCCCTCAGGAGGGTTCAGGACAGTGGCTATTTGCCAAACAGTGTAAAAGTATTTCAACAAATTAGCAACTAGTATGACAGGCTTCGCCCTCTAGGAAATAATCTCAAAATGCTGCAGGTGACTTGGCTTTAAGGGAAGGACATGATAGTGGCCAGAAAAATTCTTCTACAGCAGAATTTTGTCTTTGGTAGATCCTTTGTTAATCTCATGAGAGTGAGACTCCAGATCTACTTAGATAATTAAAAGTGAGAGAGGGAGAAATTCCATGTGCAGACAACTGAAATCAAATACAGACATTATAGGAATGCTGCTACAATAATGTTGAGACAGAGGAAAAAAGGAAGAGGCCAGTGGATTGATAATTGGGAAATCTGATGTGCCTGCTCATTTTAAAAGAAAAAACCCAGAAAAGAGAGTCATCTTATTTTATTTTATTTATTTTTTTTTTGGGTGGGGGGGAGTCATCTTATTTTGCTGACAGTTACCAAATGGCACTACTTTCAATGCATAGGATAATATTTTTAATAGTTTTCTCTTTTCCTCTTTTAGCTTTCCTTATTGGAAAAGGCTGGATTTGGTGGTGTTCTTCTGTATATTGATCCTTGCGATTTACCAAAGACTGCAAATCTTAGCCATGATACCTTCATGGTATCACTGAACCCAGGAGGAGACCCTTCAACACCTGGTTATCCAAGTGTGGGTAAGTGTGCTGTTAACCTTTATTATTCTTTTAAGCATTACAGGTTGTAATTTATAAGTACATGCTAAATTAATCAAGGGATAACAAAGTTGAAGAATTCTTACCACTCCATATTCAAAAAATGATTTTTATCTGCTCAAGTTATAGACTATTCCTTTGTTGGAATAAAACTTTTTTAGAAGTCTGTAATAGATTTTTGTCTGGATAAGTTGCAGTATTGTTAGCAAAGAAAAACATATTTTATATGTTGTTATTGATTGACTGAAAGATAAATTAATACCAGGTGGGACAAACACCTCATATAGGTCGAAACCATACAAATACCTAGAAGGATGAAATACCTGCTGCTTTAGGGTGTCTGTAATTACTTTAAGTACAGAGTCTAGGGGTACACATGGTCCGGTTAGGTGACTTAAGTAGTGGGAAATGATGCTGGAAAAGAATGGCATTTATAGGATCAACTTGTCTGGCTCCCTAAGGGAAGGGATCTTACTCACTGGCAGCATAGAAAATGGCCATCTTTGCATCAAACATCCTTCTCTCTTTCTCAATAAGTTGTTCATGTTATTGGGGGGTCAGGTGGCAGAGAGAAGACAACTGAATTTGGTGGGTGCTCCCTGCATCATTGAATTTCTGTCCAATGTATCATTGACAAGTAGTCCATTAATATAGTCTTGGCTGGGGAAGAAGCTCTGTGAACCTTCTTCCAGGGTGATAGCAACCCATTAACCATGACACTACAGTCAATAATTGAACTAACAACAACAACAAAATCATGTAATTACTCATGTGTTCTGTCAAAATTTTTCCATTTTCTACAAAATGTCACAAAAGACTTTCTAATTATCTTGTTCAAGTCCACTTGTCCTCTATGTATATTAACTTTACTGATTAATCAATAACTCTCCAACAAAGAAGTAAATTCAATCAAATATAAGTTATAATTTATAAATTTTGTTAGGTCTACTGATTACTGCTTTGTCCTCTAAAGTACACTTTTAACAATACATTTAAGAATTTTCCTTGAGACCTTATTGATATGTATTTTTATAGTCTATTGTCTCATTATTAGAATTTTGAAATTAAAATTAGGAAGTGTCCATCTACATCACCAAAAATGTCAGTCCACCTCTCTCATTTGCAAATGCTCTAACTTCCTTGGGTTATAACACCTCTGCTTCAAGAGTCTGCATATTATAGGTAACTTTTTTGTGACAGATCAATGGGCTGCAATACTATCAAAAAGCTACTTTATGAAGACTCTAAGTTGGTAAATTGACCAGTTGGCAAAATTTGCTCTTAACATTTTTTTTGGCTCAGATCATTTCATAATTGTAGAATTCCATAATATCTAGGAAAATGTTTGCCAGAGTCTCAAGCAATCTCAGAATGCTTTTTTTTCCTTTCCTTTTTTCTTAGGATATTTATTTATTTATTTATTTATTTATTTATTTATTTATTTATTTATTATTGTTATGTTAATCACCATACATTACATCATTAGTTTTTGATGTAGTGTTCCATGATTCATTGTTTGTGCATAACACCCAGTACTCCATGCAGAACGTGCCCTCTTTAATACCCAACACCAGGCTAACCCATCCTCCCACCCCCCTCCCCTCTAGAACCCTCAGTTTGTTTTTCAGAGTCCATTGTCTCTCATGGTTCATCTCCCCCTCAGATTCCCCCCCCTTCATTCTTCCCCTCCTGCTATCTTTTTTTTTTCTCTTAACATATATTGCATTGCTTGTTTCAGAGGTACAGATCTGTGATTCAACAGTCTTGCACAATTCACAGCACTCACCATAGCACATACCCTCCCCAATGTCTATCACCCAGCCACCCCATCCCTCCCACTCCCCCACTCCAGCAACCCTCAGTTTATTTCCTGAGATTAAGAATTCCTCATATCAGTGAGGTCATATGATACATGTCTTTCTCTGATTGACTTATTTCGCTTAGCATAACACCCTCCAGTTCCATCCACATCGTTGCAAATGGCAAGATCTCATTCCTTTTGATGGCTGCATAATATTCCATTGTATATATACCACATCATCTTTGTCCATTTGTCTGTCAATGGACATCTTGGCTCTTTCCACAGTTTGGCTATTCTTTCCTTCTTTTTATTCTTTTCTTTTCTTTTTCCTTCCCTTTTCCTTTTCCTTTCCTTTCCTTTCCTTCCCTTTCCTTTCCTTTCCTTTCCTTTCCTTTCCTTTCCTTTCCTTTCCTTTTCCATTCCTTTTCTTTTTCCCTTCACTTCCTTTTCCTTTTCTTTCCTTTCCTATTTGTCCCTTTTCTTTTCTTCCATTTCCTTCCCTTTTCTTTGAAATAATTTCAGCGCCTAAAAAATTTCAAATAGAGTATTTAGAGAATCTGTATGACTTTATTCCAGACTTCTTTCATATTAACATCTTACATAATATTATATAGTCATCAAAGCCATAAAATTAACACTGATGCAGTACTATTAACCAATTATAGACTTTATTCAGATTTCTCCAGTTCTCTCTCTCTCTTTTTTTTCCTGATCCAGCATCCAATCTGGAGTTCCATGGTACATTTAGTTGCCTTGTTTACTTAATCCTCTCCAATCTGAAACAGTCCTTCAGTTTCTCTTTTATTACCTTAACCCTTTGAAAAATACTGGAAGTTTATTTTGTAGAATGTCTCAATTGAGCTTGTCCAATATTTTCTAATGATTAGATTGTGGTTATAAATTTTTGGCAGGAATGCTGCAGAAGAGATGGTATACTCTTCTCAATGCATTATATGAAGAGGTACATGTTGCACGTATGGGTCATTTCTCATGAGGCTAAGTTGTATCTCTTGGTTATGGTGGTGGCTGCCAATTTTCTCTACCGTATAGGTACTCTTTTTTCCCATATGTAATTAATGGATATCTTCTGGGAAGATACAAGATATAATATGAGGCTACCTAAATATCCTTTCTTATTTTACTTTTCCTCATAAATAATAGCATTCATCAATGATTCCTTTTTGTTACAATTATTTCTATGGTTATTTGCCAACTCATGATTTCCTATTTCCATCATTCCTTTATAATCCTGCTTAAAAAAAATTTTTTATAATATGAGTAGTCATCCTTGCTGCCTACATTCCTTAACAATCGTGAAATGACTAACCATTTTGAGCAAAATTAGAAGTCAAAATTCTTAGACTCAATTACAAAAGTATCAGTGCAATAAATAACTTTATTTACTATATTACTAATATAGAGGACTCACATGAAAATTTCTTTTACAGATATCATGCCAGTGGCACGTGCGCACACGTGTGTGTGTGTGTGTGTGGTGTGGTGAGAGGATCTCTTTTTCACATATTAATCTCTATAAAATATACAGAAAAGGAAAAATTAAATATGTTGTATTTCTCTTTTTGCCCTGTTTGCTAAGAAGCTCTGATTAACCGTAGTGACTATACCACTGGCTTCTGATTCATTTATCCCTTCCTCTTGCAATTATCTTAAGATCTCTGTGTCTTATAGTTTTATTCACATTTAAGAACAAATAACACAACCCTCCTCAATTTTGTGGGTAGGGAAGGAGGAGGAGAAGGCAGGTTGCGAATTGTAAATAAAAACTACAAATAATAATTTATTCAAAGTGAATAACAGCATCTGACTTAATGCTCTACAATATTGTTAGGTAAATGATTGTTAGAGGAAGTAATATAAAACTATCTCTTTTTCCAATTTTAGGAATTCTGTCCTATTAATTAATCTAAGGATAATGAGGTCCTAAAGAAGGGTATAGAATAATACAAATCCAAGTAGGTGGTTTTATTTGTTTGTTTTTAATATATACATAATAAACAGAATAGCATAATGAACTTTCCATATGCCTCACCTTGCTTCGTCAACATCTACATTCTACTATTTTTATGTGGTCTGTACATTTCCTCATACCCCATAGCGCCACTTGCTATTTTTACCAAAAAAAATCACATAAATTGAAATGCACATAACTTAACTGGCAAAAGGATATACCTATGTAATTTCCATGCCTATTTAGCTATAGTACATTTTTATCACCTCAGAAAGTTCAGAGTCATTCCCTATCACGAGCCCTTGCTAAGCACCAGTGTCACTTTTATCATGGAGTATATATTATGTTAGGTGCAGGTTCTTTTGCTTAGATAATGTCTTTGATGTTTGTTTGTGGTTCCATGTAACAGTTTATTGTTGGGAAGTGTACCACAATTTTTGTATTGATTCAAGTAGGTGTTTTTTTAATAAGAATGCCAAGGCACTCTTCCACAACATATGATCCAAATAGGTTGTTCAAATAAGACACAGGAACTTCCTATAAGATAGTTCTGCTCTATGGACTCCGAGAAACAAACTGAGGGTTTTAGAGGGGAGGGGGGTGGGGGATGGGTTAGCCCAGTGATGGGTATTAAGGATGGAGCACTGGGTGTTATACGAAAACAATGAATCGTGGATCACTACATCAAAAACTAACAATGTATTGTATGGTGACTAACAAAACATAGTAAAATTAAATTTAAAAAAAAAACTTGCAGAACTATACACTAAAAAAAAAAAAAAAAGGTAGTTCTGCTCAGTAAGTCTCATTGCATATCCAAAAAGTTCTTGATTATTGTACAGTCACAGCAAAGAATGAAAAAAGTTTTTAAAAAATCTTTTCTCCTATGTCACAGAAAATAATGTCTTCTCATTCTTTTCATAAAAACAAGCCATTAGGTTCACTTGGCATATTAATCACTCTGAGCCTTATTTTATTTACCTTAAAAAGAATTATACTAATGTAATATATGTGTTGATACATAGATGATATAGATATAGATACAGATCTTACAAGATTGTTTGTAAGGAAATACATTATCTCAAACTTTGCCCCAAACTTAACTAGGAATTCTGAGGGAAGGGCCCAACCATCTGTGTTCTAACAAACTCTCTAGATGATTCTGATGCAAATGAATTTTGAGACCTACTGAGCTAGAGAACTTTATGCTTC